TCTTTTGATCTGACTTTGGCCGGCAAATTAAAAAAAAAAAACTTTTTGCTCTCTTTTGTTTATTTTAAATGGTTGGTTTTTTTTATTTTTAATCTCCTTTTTTGTTTCATCTGGATGTAAAATGAGAATTATTTCATTTGTTGTTTTTAACCCACTGGGATTTCAAATCGCATAAGTTAACAGTGAAAAACAGATCAAGCTGCTCAGGGCAGAAAACTTAAACGTCCTTGGAAGTTTTTTAAAGCAGCAAGTTTTTGCTCTGCTGCAGTTCTTTAGTTTGGGTACGTTTGGTTGAAAAAGTGGGAAAGAAAGAAACAAAGCAGGGGGGCTTATGAAAGACAGCTGGATGAGGAGAAGAACCTCAGCAGGATCAAAGAAAACTGGGAGACATGTAGGGAAAAGGAAATATTCTGTGTCTCACTCCTCTTTTTATCCTCCTCTGAACTGTTTGTCCAGATGCCAGAAAGTTTATTATGAGAAACTCGGTGTTTTGGAGTTAATACAGACAGTGTCAACAGCTGTTGCACAGTCTGACTTCGATATAAGTACTGTAAACTGTTATATACTCTTGTTGTATTTTTTAATGGCAATGTACGGCGTATTTTCAATAAAAAATAAAATAAAAAATAAGACATTTGATGACTATTTAGTTTAAAAACAATATCTTATAAAGCMTGAAGTTATGACCAAAAGCTGAGCTGAACTGAATTTTAGATTTTAAAATTTCTCAGCAACTGTGAACTTTATGTTTTGGGAGGTGGATGATTTCTTAGACTAGACTCACTGCACACACAAATGGGTGCTTCAAATGAAAAAAAAAATACATTATTTTAGGAATAGTTTTTTTTGGGGGGGGGGTGTTTATTCTTATTTTATAGGATTTTAGAAATGTGCTTTGTTAAAGCAATTGTTTAAATTTGGTCTCTTATTGACTCAGAGTTCTTACAAGGTCAGACTAAAGTGTATAAAACCAAGATGTTTTATCATCTAAAATGTTTTATTCTTGATTTAATCTTTAATTGTTGATTAAAGATTCAATCAGACTTGGGGGTGTCTTGGACTCGTAATCTGGATTTTGTGCTCAAGCTCAGGTTGCGTCAAGAAAGTCATCGAGTGTAAAAACGAGTTCACTCACTGTTGGGATTCCTGCAGAAGGGAGCAGTCAAAAAGAAAAACATCAACACCCTGAGTGGTCACAAGGTAAACATCACAGACTCCCCCACGACTCCCCCAAACCTCAGCCGGCCCCACCACAGTCTGTCCCCGAGACGTGGCGTAAACTGGGCTGCCCACTTCACACAAATATATGCAGCAACGATTTGAGCAAAGCCAAAAACAACCGTGCCAGGAGCACTGTGCCATGACAAGGCACAGTTTTAGTAACTTAATGGGGCATAACCCTTTCAAAATGATGCCAAATATTTGCTCATTYATGAGCAGAGTGCCAAAAAACAGCTCTGATAAAAAATAACAAACAAAGCAAAGTTGTTTTTCATGACCTCTTTAAATGTTAACTTCTCTACTCCCATTGTGTTTATGCAACATTTCTGATTTCCAAGAAGGACCAGAATAATGTCTGGCCCTTTACTCCACTCACTTCCCATATTAAGGAGGTTGGACAAAAGGAGATGTGCCAGATCTGGTGATTTTACGT